AAAATTTCTTCTTCGTTTAATGTTGAACACTGAAAAGTTAAAAAAAATTCATTGCAACAGTAATAAAGAATATGGACACATTCATAGTTTAACTCTCAATAGAGTTAATATTAGTTCACAGGATTGAAATAAAATATATTAGAAAGAGTTAAACATCATACCGAATCTGAAGTGGATTCCTGCTTTGGGATTATAAGTGTGGCGATATGGAAAACCCTGTTTTTCTACAGTCACAAAATCAGAAGTATAAACAACCTCCCGCAGAAACTTATAAGCCCCTCTTTCCTAATTCTCTCAAACTAAATGCTTATGAAGATTCAAATTATTGTTTCCCACCAATGATCCAGCCAGAACACCCCATGTTTCCAAATTTTTTTCTGAGCTAGACGTAAGAAATCCTCCATCATGTGCACTGGCTGCAGAATATGTCAACAATTCAAATAAAATTGATGTAGAAGACCAAAATCTTATAATCATAAAATTCCAACAAGTAATAGGAAAGAACAAGAATTTGATACAGCGGGCATACAACATGTAAATGCTGATATGAACTACTATTTGGCATTCCATCTTGAGAAGGCTTTGCTGGACCAGGTCTTGGATCAGCAACTTTTTATGGAAGTATTGGAGCAAAGTCTTGATGGACTTGAGCAAGAACAGGAGGAGGAGACGGTTGTTTGATACCGACAAACTGGAGGGATCCTCCTTTGCCTCAGTAATTAAAGGGTGACATGAACGGCCTTCAGCAGGATTTAACCATCGACCATCATCTAAGGAGAGCACCGACTCCATCGCAGAACCAACCTGTCCTATATCAGCATCTTTTACAGCCAGACAACCATATTGTCCAGTCTGATTCGACCTATAATAAATTCCAACAGCAAAGAGAAAATGTTAAAGCAGCCACATTGTAGCAACAAAAACCAGTCACAACATATATTCTAAGTTTTATCCAGAATAGGGAAAGGATTACATGATAATGGATAAGATAGAAAAGTTTATCAGCTTAAAGAAGAATGATTGGACTTTCTGGAAGCCTACCCTGAATTTTCTGAAGGAACCAAGTCCATACTGCTTGGATATTGAACCTGCATTATATAGAACAATAGATTATTTGATGCAGGTTTGCAGTTAAGCATGAAAAAAATATTAAACAAAGAATAGAGAAAGAAGATAGGGAGCGCGGGAGACATAGCAAACTGAGGTTTACCTTTATCTCTGCACCAGGTCCAAGCCACTGGCTTCGAAGACCATTAGGACCAAGAAATGAGTGTCTAGACAATGTTTCTTTATTTGGACGTGGCACATTAATAGACCTGAACATATCCAGTCCAGAAATGGTTAGAACATGTTAGCCTTAGAGAAAATGTTTTCAAATAATTAATTTTTTGTGAGGGTTATTGGAAAACACAAACAAATATGACAATAAGTAAAGACCAAAAAAATCAAGATGCTGTAAAGCAGAAGTAACACACGGAATTTTATGCCTGGTGGTGCTTCTGACATCAATTAATTCCTTTTCTAATAGGTTTCGACTAAAAGCACAGAGTTGACTTTAATGGATCCAACCATACAACTGCAGATTTTCAGACTGCAAAGGTATGGCTTAGAGGATGCAAGTTCAAATCATCATTAACGAGGGGAAAAATAACTCACAACTTTTGGAACTGCTTGTCAATTTGATTACGATCGTTATTATAATTCCATGAAGAATGAACAGCCATGTTGGCAGGCTGCATCCAAATAAAAAAGGAAAACGAGCTATGATATTAGGCATTCTATTAAAAAAAGCAAGTAAAAACAAGAAACAAAACTGGACAACGAGGCTAACAGAAACAAGGAACGAATATAGAGATAATTCATAATTGTTTAATGAAAATCAAATTGCATCCTCAGCTTATAAATGGATTAGTACCTGTTGAATATCTAAGCTCATATTAGACCCTTTATCTACATGGGGCCATTCCAAAGGTGACGTCTTCTCAGAGCCATAGGAAGTGATTTCATAGCCATCAGATTCAAGCAATTTATTCCCTGCATGAGGTCTATTTAGTTCGTCGACTCTCCTATGAACCTCCGGTTTTAGAGATTCGAGCTCATCAAGTACAGCTAAAAGCCTCTACAAATAAGAAACCTTACAACCAAAACATCATTAAATACCATTAGAGCGGATTCATATCATAGCGCAACTAGAACAACAATTAAACCTCACCTTCCTATATTTAGCCTTTTCTTTGGGAAGCAAAACCTGGTAATCCCGATGAAAAGGGTAGAGTCTCCGATACCAAACTGATAAAAAAAATTACAAATAAGCTTAGACAAACTATTTTAGTAGCTTTTCTTTATTCAATCCACACTAAGCTTCCCTCACCTTGAATATCTAAGTAGTATTATATACAAATCTACTATGTTCTTTTCGTTTCGGTATATGCTCGCCTGAAAATTTAAAATTACATTAAAAAAACCTGTAAATATACCTAAAATTTCAAGCTAACATAAATAAACAAAGCGTTCGAAAGCCAATGTTACAAATTAAAGCTAATAAGCACTTAAATTACCACCATTTTCAAATATTAAGATAAATAATAACGGTAAATGAGCTAATCAAATCATCCAAACTATAAATTCGTTAGCAATTAAAACTTTATTGAACAAAAGGAGTGATTACAACTGAGGTTAAGCTAAAATTAAACATTAAACGATCGTGAATTAATAATTATTAGGGAAAAGACGTAGGATTAGGGCAGCAATTCGATGGCGAACCTGTTTGAGGAGATTATCGGCGATTCGATAATAATAATGGAGAGGAATTCGATTATCGACTTCGACTGTACAAGCCATCGCATTAACAACGATCTTCATCTTTTTCCTTTAATTTTCCCCCTCGTTCGCCGATGAAATGCCGTTGTCTTCCGATTTTGATCCAAAGATCAATGGTTTGGACGTGTGGGCTAAGGAATTGAGATCGAACAAAACACTTCGTTTTGAAAATATTAATAATTGGAGCCTTTCTTGAGTTCTGTCGACACAATTAGGAGTAGCAGAGCAATTTTATTTAGGTAAACTATAGAAATAATTATCTGATTGTTAACATTTTTCTTTCTATCATCTGATTATAAGAGTTAGTTATTTGATTTTTTGGGGTAAAATACAAAAATAGTCCTCCAACTATAGATTATTATTTCGGTAAGTCCCTAACTATTAAAATTTATAAAATAATCCCTCGACTATGGGACATTATTTTCTTGAGTCATTTAATTATTAAAAGTTATAAAATGGTCACATAAGTATTCATATGTTCCAAACTCCTCATTTTACTTTAGAAAATTAGCAGTCATATGAGCGGACGTTAACTTATTGATTGTATATGATAAACCATATTTTTAATGATTTCTACTAACATCATTGTTGCTTTCAAGCACTCGCTCGACAACATAATATTTTAAATACTAGCTTGAAGATACAATATAAATAGAGAGTCGATCTATAAAATACAGCTGAAACGGAATTGGGATCATATTTTATCATATCACAATCAACATGTTGACGTCAAACTCAGACGATCGTTAATTTTTTAATGAAAAAAGATAAGTTTAGAATATATGAGTTGTTGAGTGATCATTTTATAATATTTTATAGTCAATAGATTCAACAAAGGAGTGTCCTATAATTAAGAGACAATTTTATAACTTTTAATAGTCAAGGGACTCAACAACACAATATCCTATAGTTAGGGGACTATTTTTACCTTGATTTTTTAGCCACCTTAAAGTAAGGTTGATATGAAATAGTCGTTTTATCTTAATTCAATCAATTTTAATTTATTATATCATATTTTCTTTTTAAAATTCAAATTAAATTGTGTAAAACATGAAATCAGACAATATTTGAATTTAAAGTAAAAGAACTATTAACCTGAAATAATAATATATATATTTTCTATATTTTAATGATATTTATTTTCAATTAACATCTATTTTATGAAATAAAAAAGATTTTTTTTAATATTTATATTCAATTAGATCAGATATAGATTTTAATTTTATATTCCATATTAATTTATTATTATATTAATTTTATTAATTATCACATGATCTATTTATAAAGATTTAACGAAAAAATCTTTATTAACTATATGATCATTTTATAATTTTTAAAAAATATAATCACCAAGCTTCCCAAACAATTATATCGATAATTAAACTTCATTAGAATGTTACAAAACAGTCCTTAAACTTATCAAAATAGATCACTATTTTATAACTTACAACGACCATTTTGTAACTGTTCAATATGTTCAACAACCATTTTGTAATTTCCAAAACTTCCAGTGGTGAAAAATCGTTTAACTATAACACAAGTCTCAAACATTGGATCTGCTAATGCATGCACAACAAAAACGAATAAATAAAACAAACTCCTACAAGGTATATACTAAGAGTGCGTTTAGTTCACAGAATGTAAGATTATCAGTGGGAAAAAAGATTACCAGGGAATATGATTACTGGGAATGTTATATTTTGTGTTTGGTTGGTTTAGCATGAATGTAAGATTATCGTGTTTAGTTAAAGGAATAAAAAATTATTAGAATGTATATTTGATCAAATTGTCCTTATTATATATTTATATAATATTACAAATTATAAAATATTTATATATTTTCTTTAAAAAATTAAATTCATAATATTTATATAATTTTTTTACAAAATTAAAAACATAAAAAAAGTTTAATGAAAAAGTAAATTTTTTTTAACCTCTGAACTTTATATAAAATTTTAATTATAGATTTTTTTTTGTAAATCTAAAATAATTTAAAGATAAATTTATAATTTAATTTTCGTAAAATTTTTATTATTCAATGACAGAAGAAGGATATTTTTGAAAAAAAATAAAAATTTAAAGACATTTTAATCCAAAACGACGGTAATGTTATAATACCTAAGAGAAGGGAGGTAATGACATTCCCGATAATATACCCCAAAAAATCTACTATTGGTAATAAAACATTACCGGGAATAAGATTCCCGGCCAACCAAACATGAGAAAATTCTTGAACCAAACACTTCCTAATCTCTTTAAACATTTGGCAAAATCTTCCAATCAGTTTAACGGAGATGGTAATATCTTTAACAATCAAACTTTAGTCCCACGGTTTTACTATTACCTCTAGCACCGACGGCATTTAATTATCATCGTCGCTACTTATTTGGGATTCATCTTCTTCCCCATAAAGAACGTCATCTACATCATCATCGTCATCTTCACTTTCATCCATGGAGTGATCGCTCGTGGAGTTTTGACTTTTGATCTGAGATGCCTTGTCGATCTGTTTCGAAAACATAAGGAATACAATCAAGCACAACAAATAATATAATCCACATAGGAACATTAAGTTACGAGCCTGTGTTGTTACGAGCTGCAATCGCCCGGATAACTGAAGTGCTGACCCTCTCGATTTAGTATTCTGGAAAAAAAAAGGGGGGCATTGTGAATCTTAATTACAGTTACTATATTAATCTCATTTTCTTAAGATAACGACAGGATAATTACACACAGGAAGATAAACGTGTAATGACTAGGTTCCTGAATGTCTGTTCCTCGTTGCTGTATGCACCTGGGTATGATCATAACCCGTTCATGTGCTTACATCAAAGGCATTGTCCTCTTTGAGAACCCATTGGCCCCTCAAGCATTTGTAATTTGCAGGTGGCCTTCCTTGGTTAGAGAACCAAGGGACACTTGCGGGTGAAAAATACTTGAGAAGCCGATGGCTCTCCGAAAAGAACGATACCTTTCACAGCATAGGGTGATATGGCAAGGTTATTTTGGAACCCAGTCATTACCAAAAGAAAGCTTGATACAAACAAGGGGTAGGGAATTTTCCTTTTAGAAAAGTTACCTTCGATAAGGAATTAAGCATCTGGGTTACGGATTCTCGAGGCAATATAAAATGACCGTGAGTCAGCAATAAACCATATATCCACGGAAGAACATACTTTCCACTACATGTCCTGTTGAAGAAACTAAAAGCGTGAATGTTCAAGCATATCATGTCTGTAGCTATTTTCTTGCCAGAAAGGATAAAACGAAATAAGCTTAAAATAGAGTAAAAACTCTAGAACCAAGTTAATTGGACTGGGGTGAGATGGGCATGTGCCCCACACATGTTCAATTGCCCCCCCCCCCCCCGCGGTTTGGAGACCTTCAAAGGTCATGTATCCCCGAAATCCATGTCCGATAAGTGTCGGATACACGTGTAAGAGATGAATATACCAACAGAAAAGAAGAAAAGTTGGAGCAACATAGGTTTAGCTGCCTAGCAAATAAAATAATAAAGCTTCATGCTTGGTTCAAGCTTAAGATACTAAATGTGAGAATTTTTATCGTCAATCTACCAGTATTCCGACGAATATCAAATCAAATTGATAGACTGGAATTTTACTAATATAAAATTCATCTCCCAGTCGAAGATAGCTATTTTACTCAAATTAGTGTGTATGTCAGATACGTGTATGTATCCAACATGGATATGTTCTGCTTATTTATTACATATACACAAAAACACACACATACATTTCCATGTATTTGAAGGTCCTTGGAGGATAGTTATTTTATTTGGAAATCGAATGAGCGTTAGATACGTGCACGTATCCAACACAGGCATGTTTTGGGTTTTTTCTTCTTTTTAACAATGTTTTCCATGTATTTGAAGATCCTTTTCATACCCATGTCGGAACATGTGTCAGACACAAATACTTCAAAGGAAAATGTAGAAATCAAAGCAACTACGGAAGACAACCTATTAACCTCGTTTTGACTGGTTTTAATTATGTATCTGCGATGTTGCTCCAACTCTTCATCCGTGTCCAATTCATATACCAAAATGGGTATGGGGATATAATTCTCTAATGATCCTCCAAATACAAAGAGGAGCTTAGATAAAATCGAGCATACCCATATATGGGTATCCGACACTCACATCAGGGAATAGGTTACTGGTATATAAAATGTTAGAAGGTAGAGAATGCAAGTAACAAAGACTTAACTAACCTTGATTGCCACGATTTCATCAAGTTTTCAAGCAACTTATGAGCATCACAAGGCTCCATAGGAGAAATAACTGCTCTCATCTGATAATTTAATTCAAAAATTAGCTAAATGAAACAAAATAAATCTTAATTAAAATAAAATCGAAAGATATTTGCAATGATAAAACATAATTTGCATCTTTATCGACTGAATACAAACCTTCTTTGGTGGAAAATTAGCTTCAAGATTAATACCATCAAATAGCATAGAATCAAGCGGATAGCCACATGTATTATGTATTCCTAGTGATTTTAACTGATCCTCCATGCAAAGAGTTTTTGAACGTGCTTCAAATTTCATCGAGTCATCTGCATAGGCCAGAATAATTAAAAAATTGGTAATGGCACACTAGCATTGAAAGAAGGTTGACACAACATATACAAAAAAATACTGCAAGAAATTAACAAGGATTCATATTGCTTCCATCCAATCCTTTGTTTCAATTTGTTTTCTATTATTGAACTGTGTATCAGCATTGATTTTCCAGCTTATGGCACATTATTAAAGATTAAGCTCCAAGCACTTGAAAATTTGAATGCTTAATTTACCTTTTTCTGCCACGCATTCCGGTTGGCTCACAGGGTTGAAGGAATCAATCACTACATCGTTAGCACCAACTCCCAAACTTCCATGTCTATACTCTTTTTGCTCATGAAGATGAAAAATCTTTGGGACTGGAAGTGCAGCATCCTCAGCATTTGCACGATCCAATGCAATTACTATTTACATAATATGAAATCAGTGTAGATGCTCGATTTCGTCCGGGGACTTTATCGGAGGCTTCGTATTAAACGATATAAATTTGGACCAGTAGGAGCCCAAATCAGCCCAAAACAGCAGTGTTGATTGGAAACTTTAGTCCACGTGAAGTCCTGCAAAACAAGAACAGTTAGCAAGCGAAAATGTGGGGAAAGTAGTGTTTGATCGTGGGAGTGATATTGAGCACTCAGGAAACTGTAAGAGTCAGTTTTAATTAAAAACAACTATCAATAAAGAAAGGAGGGAGAGTTATCACCATGAAGAGAGGGGGGCTACCCTACCAGGGATTAACCAGAAAAGACAAGAGCACAGAACAGGGAGAGCATTGCATTTTTTAGGGGATTCATTGTAACAAAAAACAGTGTAATCGTTCTCATTTTTACACGGACAATACAAGGCTAGAATTCGAAGTTTTAAGTTGTTTTTCCCAATGCTTCCATAAGCATGTTTCTTTCGTTTTTACATCCATTCAAAATGAAAAAAATGAAAAACCTATTATCCCAATAGAAATCATCAACGAAAATAAACAATCCCAGACAGTAATAGCAAGGTTCCAAATAAAAAGAGAAGAATTTAGAAGGAGATTCAAACGGAAAAGAAGAATTCGGAGGAAACCTCACCTGTCTTTGCAGTAACAGCTTTCGTGCTTTCGTTGGAAGGAGGGAATGTCTTCAACAGTCAAAGGTAACGCTCTTATAGTCCCTCGATTAGGAGTGTTTGGGTTTGTAGAATTGTTGTGGTCATTTGAGAGTGGTAAGTCCCAAAAAGGTTGTGATTTAATGGTGTCGGTGATAAGAGTGAGGTGTTTGGGATCGATTGAGTTAGGTTTAGATGGCCGTGGTCGTTGTTAGTAGTGGCTGGAGATTGGACTGGTGCGTTATTTTCCGATCAGCGGCCGCGTAGGTAGTGGTCTTGAGCGTTGGAGCTCTCGAACGGAGGAAAGAATGAAAGAGTAGAGAGTGGCGCCGAAGGAGAAGAGTGGCTGAGTGTTTTCTGCGTGAGTTAGTGTCCATGTAGGTTAGTTTACATTTAGGTTTCATATTAACTTTTTGGGTAAATTAGTATTTAGTCGGTTTAACTTTTATTTATACTTTAATTATCTTTAGGACTGCTTTTGAAATCGGGGTTTTTTTTGTCCAAATATTATTATTTTTCAGATTAGTTTTCCTATTTATTATTTCGGTATATTCTTCTCACGCTCCTCCTATTTAGTTATTTTTACGTTTTAATCCTCTGTTTGTTAATGGAAAAATTATAACCTTGGTGCTTGGAATGTTATTACTTTTGTATCAAGACTCAATGCTTGTACAGTTTGTTATTTTAGCATCAGATTTACATTCCCATTTTAATTTGGTCACATGTCTTTAAGTTCTTTTAATTTTTTTATCACTTTTACAATAGTATATTGTTTACATCATTTATGTTTTAACCTTAAATCAATTTTTTTTTACATTTTAGTTTATGTTTAAGTTTTTATGTGTATGCATGTATAGTTAATTAGGGTTGTTTTCGAATGTATGCTTCATATGTTTGAATGATGATGATATGTATGCATGTAAACACAGGTGGTTTATTAATTAGATAAAAATAATTTCATATATATTAATTTGTATGATATCCTCATGTGCATAACTCGACCTATTACATAATCGGACTAAGGTAATACCCTTTTAATTTAAAATTGTCTTGAGTGGCCTGTCTTAACTGATTAAAGGGCCGTTATGACCATTTTAAGTTAAAAGCGTATCCCGGAAGTGAAACCAAAAAAATTGATTCGTCACTTAAAATTTGGGAACGAAAGAAAATGAAATGTTCGTTTATTTAAATTTATCGAGAAAATGTTGTTATAGCTTTTAAGATATGGTCTCGATATTTGTAAATAATCGAACATTCTTTATCTTTCTAAAACGACTTGGTAATTTTAATTTAATTTATTCGAGTGCTTTTGAATATTGTAAAATTCATATTTGTTGTTTTATAGGATTAAAAGTCAAATTAAGTTTGAATTTGTAAAGTTCATTGCAAAGACGTTAATTAATCGACTAGGTATCGATTTAGGGCGCTGTGGGGGTGCTAATCCTTCCCCGCACGTAACCGACTCTCGAACTCGGATTTTGGTAACACAGACCTTAATTTGTTGTTTTAATTAAAATTAATTTTTATTTAAAATAACAAATATTTTTTGGTGCCCAATCACACCCTAATCAAAGATTGGTGGCGACTCTTTGAACCGTATATTTTCGATCGTAGAGGAAATCCAAATTTTTTTCGAAACAAGAGGTTTTTAAATCACATTTGTTTTTAAATTAAAAATCAATTGAAATAGATAATTCAAAAATTGATGTGGTTTTCAAAATCTCACCTTTTCACTTTAAAGAGAAAAATCGTTTCGACAGCTTGGCGACTCTGCTGGGGACTTTTTTTTAGAGAGTCAGGCTAATAGTCAATTAATTAATTGTATTTGCAATTGAAAATTATAAATTCATTTTAATTTGGTTTTTGATCCCTTGTTTGGTTTTTAATAAGTTTTGTTTGTATTTTGATTTTTTTAATTTAATTCGATTAACAATTAAATAGTTGTACTGATTTGTTTGCTAATGATTTCAGATTAATTGTGTGAATTTAGGAAATTTTGAGTGTTTTTATTATGTTTTTTAGCTTTTCCTCACACACTGCACAGTTGCATTTTCATGACACGAGCTAAAACCCCGCTCCGTTCTAATTAAGTAGGAGTGAGAGACTATGCCCTCGTGTGGTTTTCACCTCCGCTTGGGATAGTGGATCGCTCCTGGAGCTCACGCCTTATGGTCCTCGTGATGGTAATCACCTCCGTATGGACATAAGGAGGTGTGTTCCCTCGAAATTGAACTCGATCCCCTAAAGCCTATGATGGGCCAGGATTGAGGGTTTGACAGCCCAAGGGGACACCGGCAAGGACAATTCGAGAACCTATTACTTTAGAACTGAACTCGGCATATAGTGAACATAGAGCCTGAACTTAGGTTGAACCAAACCCGAACCTTAAGAATCCCGTGAGGAGAGTACACAAGGAAAAGCTTTTTTGAGTCAATTATTTTCGTTTTTCGAATAAATGCATGCGAACTAGATATCATGCGGTTAGATTTATTTTTTGAATAAGCATGCGAATTAGATATCATGTGGTTAGGATTTCTTTTTGTGAATAACAAAGCATGGGGGTAGATATCATGTTGGGTAGGATCTGATAAAGCATGATTGGGTAGCCAGCATGTGGGTAGGATTCTTTAACAAATTATTATCCCGGCTTAATTGCTTTATGTTTACTAACCGATCTTTTGTTGTGTTTGCCTTTTTTCTTTTATGTTTGCATTGCACTATCCATTACATGGTGTTGATTTAGGATCGATGTCCATATAGAAGGCCAATAATATAGAACGAATGGTTCAGAGAGAGGTTGAGGATAATGCGGAATGTTCTGAGGTGGTCAGAACAGTCCCAATTGACCAATGGGGATAGTATGATGCCTGGATATGTGTCGGAGTTATTTGGTTACACTTACATCAATGTACGTCAGAATGATCTGAGTGAGCTAAGAGATGTATGGGGAAGATGGGAAGTAGCCGATAAGGAGATGTTTTATCAGTAGTACGACGATATTCCTTATCTTCTGGATGTTTCTATTGATCGAAATTTGTTTAGAGCATTGGCGCAGTTCTGGAATCCGGCTTATAGCTGTTTCACATTTGGTAGGGTGGATCTGACACCAACAATAGAGGAGTATCAAGCTTTGGTCCGTTGTCCGAGGTCCCAAATAGATAGAATATATACCAAGCTGCCAGTCACTCATTCATTTAAGAAGAAATTAATATTGATGACCGAAATGAGTGAAGATTGGGTAGTTAGAAACATTAAGAAGAAGGGAGACAGTGAGTGCATCTCTTGGGCTGCTCTGAAAGAAGTAATTGATCATCACCTTAATAAGAGAAAGAAGCTTGACTTGTTTGCTTTAGGGTTTATGGGCTTGTTATTTTTCCAAAGGTGCTAGGATATATAGACGAATCAGTCGTTGACCTATTTGAAAGATTAGACAAGCACGTGGATCATGTTCCAGCCATTCTAGCTGAGACGTTCCGGTCTTTGAGTTCTTGTAGGCGCGAAGGAGAAGGGCGCTTTATAGGGTGTGCGCCTTTGTTACTAGTATGGATTCTAAGTCATTTCAAACATATTGAAAGGGCACCAGGATGAGTGTTTCTAGATGGGTTTTCTCCTTTGAATGATTTTCTTTCTAAAGAATGGCATGGGGGTTTCACCGAAGAAAAATAGATGGTCATCTTCAAGGATATCATAGATGGTGATATTTTGTGGCGAGCTTCGTGGAATGTCTCTTCGGATATACTTTACCGATGTGGAGAGCGAGATTGGGTTCCTTTGCCAGGTATATGGGGTTCTGTTGGGTATGCACCGCTACTAGTTTCCAGACAGTATGGGTCAAGGCAGTTCATTCCAGCCACATGGGACTTGGTAGGGTCGGATTTTGCATTCAAAGGAGATCAGTATAAGGGTAAAGTTAAAGGGGTTACTGAGGCCTGGAAGCAAACTCGTCATGTGAATCTGTTCACTTATGATCTCGAGTTATCTCAAGAGTACGAGCAATGGAGAAGCGGTCGAGTAAATGACAACATCCCGATGGTGAATCCTGAAAATATTCAGTCGATGGAAGAACAATTGAGAGTGGTGCCATCCCCATTGGAGTTAGCTAAGCGCGATTTCGAAGTAGAACGGAGACAATGGAGAATGACTTTGTAGAAGCTAGAAGATGAAGTGTATCAAAAGGGATTGGAGATTGATATTCAGAAGAGTAGAGCAGATTGAATTGAAAAAGTGGAGAAGCAACTTTGGCTAGACTTTGACGATCTTCGGTCAACTTATTAGCGAATGGTAAAAGCTTAGACATGTTCTCGCTCAAGTAAGTCTGTCGAATTGAGGCAAGAGGTGGTGAGCCTCAAAAGAGTAGCCGGAGAGAGTCAAGAAGAGCTCAAGCAAAGCAGACACCAAGTTAAGATTTTATCGAAGGAAAAAGATTCTTTAGAGCAGCGGTTACAAGAGAGTCAAGCCCATAACGAGAAGTTGAAGGAGAAGATTTCAAGTTTAGAGACTGCATTACGACAATACCGAAACAGGGAAGGTAGCTCAAGTCGTGGGGAAGTTGAGAGTATGAAAAAACAGGTGAGTGAGCTTGAAGCCATGGTTCAAGATTTTCAGAGGCAAGCAAGTGAGTTATCGATAGTTCCTTATGAGGGGGATATACAGTGGCGTTTTCGATGGGAGCGAGCTTAGGCGAGAGTTAAGCAA